AAATAAAGAGATACAGAATTAAAAGAATCTCTGTAGCTTATATGGATGAATGTATTTAACTCAGAAACATAAGGAATTATACTTCCATTAGGGAGTTTTAAAATGGATCAGAAGATGTTCTTACCTATCTCACTCCTAAACGGTAATTATAAAAATGCTACTTCAAGGTTTGGCTTTTGAAATCATATCTTAAATTCCAACCAGCTAAATCTCTCAGCCATAATATTCCCAAATAACTTTATATTCTCAACATCATCATGCTCCCTTAGAATTATAAAAGCTCAAACTACTGCCCAGAACATAACAAAATGTTAAATATAGGAAATATATTTGCCTCTGGAAAACCAATTCCAGGCCTAAATACGTACTTTTGTCACTCCACTTACAGTTATTACTTTGATCAGCCATCCATCCTAGAATGGTGAAGTCCTCACTAGGTAATAAAGTACTTATTCTATTTTGTGTCTCTGTTCCTTTGTCATCTTGGCACAATAAATACAACCTATTTTAAAACATGAGCAATCTTCAAAGGACAGCTTCAAACTGCCACAACAAAGGGCCTATTACCCAAAGCTAAGCACACTACACTGTAATAACACAGGTCTTTCTAAAACACATTTAATCTATTTTATAACTGAAGAAATGGGATGGCCTTATTTGGCACAAAGTGATATTGCCTCTGAATTTCCTATTCCTTGTTCAGATTCCTTGTGAATGCAGAATCTCTGCATTCATTATTTCTATACACTCACAACGGTTTATTTTAAGACAAACTAGCCAGAAAGACCTCTTTGAACTTCTGAACCCGAGCCTTTCCTACAGTGCTTTTCGGAGTGAGTTCAGGACCTCAATGAGACTGCACTGAGAGAGACCAAAACCTCACAACTTACAAAAACCAGTCAAAATATTAGTGCAAAAGGTCAAAGACAAATTGCACTGTCTAACAAAATCTAAAGTACAAACTGAACCAGGAAACAAAAACCAACCCACAGCTATGGTATTTCTTTATAAGAATCATGACATATTGAGGAACTTCAGTATCTGCACTTAGAAAGACAATCTCTTCTGCGTAATTCAGCTCAGATCATGATCTTATTCATGATCTTTATCACAGTTACTTCTACAATCCTGTTACAGTCAGCTAGAACTTGTTTTATCTATATATTTTCCAAGGACAAGTTTACCTGTAATTATGCAGCAGTTGGGAAGGTGCCCTTTCAACCAGAATCACTCTGGTTTTCATCTAACAATAATATATTTTGAGTGAGGCAAGTAGTTCTACAACTGTATGTTTGCAACCACACAATAAAACATTAAAAAAATGAGAAAAAACTCACTGTAATCCATAAAGGAAATGGTATCAAGATAATAGTTTTAGTTAGATCCATATTTTGAAATCAGGTAGAGTTATGTGCAAGAATAACCAAGATTCCCTCTCTTATTACTATCAGTTCAAGGAGAAACTGTAGTTGAGGAGTAAGCAACAGCTTTTTTTGAGCATTTGTGCAAGGAACAGTCTGGGTTGGCTTTCACACCATTAGCCACATTTCAGAGAGAGTTTTAAATCAACATGAACAGATTAAATAATATTAGTTATACTTAGGTAAAGAATTCTAAATAAATATTTTAAATGCCAAGTTTATTAATTTATGAATTTCTAACAGAACATGTGAATATTATTCTGTGCTCACTGACAGTGATCACTCTTTGTTCAGTTATATAAATATCTACTTAGAGCTCTCAAAAAAAATTAATGCACAGTTCCAAAGAAAATTATTTCATTAACATACAAGGGTGTATCTGCTTCAAGAAAGAATATTCAAACACCGTTCATATTAACCATAAAAATTACCTAGGAATATTCACTCCCCTGGAAAGGCTGCAGAAAACTAGAGTAAATTATTGTTGAAAAACCCCTCACTCTGTTCAGAAAAAGCCTCTGACAACTGCTTTAACCTCCCATTATCATATCCACACACACTGATGGACAGGAAATTCTCCAAGAAAAGGCAAGAGGTCAAGTTTAAAATGTTGGGGTTTTCTTACTAGTTCTGAAGGATACCCACATCAGACACTAACATAAACATTCCGACAATTTTCACTGCGTTCTTAGGAATCGGCCACACTTACACCCCAGATAGAAACACAAAATGTAATCTGCACCTTCACTGATGTTTGTGTTTCTGTGAAAGAAAAACATTCAGTTACAGAACCAAAGCATATCCAAGCTTTCCTCTTGCATTTCCTCATTTACAAAACCAGATCCGGAGAATTTCGCGCTCCGATAGCGAGACTGGATATCACGCAAGGAGCTCAGGAGATGCCTAGGAATTTTATTAACAATCTTTTATCCTTCCATGTTTCTGACTACTGGAGCTGAAGAAGCACTGCTGGAGCAGCTTCCTGGCTGAGTTTAAGATTTAACTATTTGAAAATTTAACTGTATATGTTGGTGCTACCAAACAGCCATATGGAAAAGCAGCCTCTACTCAACAAGCTCTTGCACTGTCTAAGGAACCTTTCTGCTCTGCATTTAACCTCAGAGCAAACTTTAACAAAGAGCCAGCCTTTCAATGGTTTTGTATTTATAGTATATCCTTAACATTCTTTTTCAGACACAGCACCAGTGTGTATCTTCCACTGTATTATGTGCCTTTTTTTGTATTTTAAAAACACTTAGGCAATTCTGTCATCAAAGCATAAGCAATTCCCAGATGTTTAAGCAGTTTCTTTTCCATTAATGAAATAGTCAGTTTCTACTTTCATGTCTGATTTTCAAGCACCTTCAAATCTCTGACTTTTCAGATGCTCCTGCTGTATCTTACACACAATTAAACCAATCTCTTTGTCATTTGCCAAAAAAAAAAGAAATATCCTTCTGTGCTACGCAAGTTACTAAGCGAGCTGAAATAAAGCCTGAATATTTTCAGAAATTAAAATCATTTTAGCCCACTTAGGGTTGTGATTACATTCTTGCTTACAGGTAAGGTAAAGATGTAGCACTGTTTTCCCTAAGCTGTATAAATCCCTGCTCTTCTTTAGGTCAAGAATTAGCCAATAATGACAGAGTTGGCAATAAAGCTCTAGAAGGTGGAGATGAAAAGAAATGTTCTCCTTTGGTTTCTCAATGACAGATCTGCACAGCATACTCATTATTCCAGTCTAGGACAGAGCAAACTTGCATGCAATCTGCAGCTCTATTATCAGTGACTGATTTACTCTCTTCCTCCTTTTTTCTCTGTCCAGCACACCAAACACTGCAACAGAAACAGAATTCCAGGAATATGGGTGTAACCTGCCCAGTCCCTAACCAGCAGGGTTAATCAGCTCTTACCACAGACCTACTGACACAGGTCGGGCAACAGAAACACTGTTCTCAGTGTCTCAGACAGTTCTCAGCAAAGTGTTATCTCTACAATGACTGTTTGGTTTAGACCTCTCTACTTCAAAATTTTTAGGTAACAAGTTAACTAAATTTTTAGGTAACATTTTACACCACAGGTATAAAATGCATGAATATATACATATATATATATATATATGCCTTCTTTTTCCTGCAATTTCTAAAAAAATTAGACGACAGTTTTGGATATTCTGTCAAGAAACAAATTCATGACTTCCACTTAGTTTCCCAGGCTTACATTATGGATCACTTTCTAACCCAGCTCGAGGCACGTTTCATGTCTGTACATAACTAATTTACTCCATTATTCTAATATAATTCTTCCATGGTAACATCCTGCTAAAGTGGTCTGGAAGAAGCAATATTTAATTCAAACTTCTCAAGGCAGCATACAAGATGAAAAATTTTGACCCATTTTTAACACCTTGGATCAGACTATGCCACACCAGTAATAGAACTGAGAATTTTCTAATATTCTTTTCATACTGAAATTTAATTTTCATACTGAAAGTTAATTATAAAAGATTATCACTTTAGAACAAGCAAAGAAAAAAAAAACAGAAAAGCTGATAATTATAATATTACAGAATGCTCACTGTAGCAAGGAGCAGGGATACAAAAATGAGACAATAGTTCTACCTGTTACTGAATTATTTGTAACATGAAAAATGTATAGAAGATAATTTAAGCTGAACTTTAGAGCATGACCCTGAGCTGCACTGCAACACAGAATTATCAAGAAGGAAAGTTTGTTTCCAGGGGAAACAAACCCTCAGGGGTCAGCTTTGCACCTTTTTACTTTCTGCAGCTGTTTAAAGAAGTTCTTTGATCCCAAAAATTGCATACATAATAGAATATAGGGGCTTTTTTCAAGTTAGGTATTAGACTGATTTAGAAAATCAAATAATTATGCTATAATTCCTGCAAGCTGATTGTATTTTACAATACAATATTTATGAATCAACAAATCCTGGACTACATGGTATCCTTCTCTTTAAACAGGTAGTTCTCTATTTTTCATTCTTTGGGATGATTGTTTACATCTATTATTTAGAACCAACACATTAATCAATTTCCTGAAATTAACAGAAGTACAGCCACTGTTAAAGAAAGTGCAAGCTCATGCAAAACAAAACAAAACTAACCCACAGTCCCCCCCCAAATCAAACCAATAAACGAGAAAAACCCCATTAAACAAAAAAAAAAAAAACCAACCAACAAAAAAACTAAACCAAAGCAAAAAAAAAAATCACACCTGACATGATCCCAACTATATAAGTAAGAATCCATTCTCTTTCCCTAAATTACTTCTTTCATGGATGCTGAGCTGAAAGCTAGTACAAAATAAGCACCTGAACATTCAGCTTTCCAGATCGATATTAAATTATTCTTAGCCATACTAGTTTATACTAAAACAATGGTTTGTAATTTTAAAGAAAGTCTTTAACAACATTAAAACATGACATTTAGGCATTTGATGATTAAACAGATTTAAATTTGAAGCATTAACCTAAATATTCTACAGCATTTCTAAGAACTTCACTGAGCTGCCATAATTTCTGTCAGCATATGTAGTACTGAATGACTAGTAAAATACCTGAATTGAAACTATTCCAGTCTAGCAGTTTGTATGATCTTGTGTTACCCATAATTCCGACAAAGGCTGAGTTCAAAACAGCAAATTAGTAGATCAGTTATAGGAGCAGAATTGTGAAAAAAAACTACCAACAAGAACACAATTGACAACACCAATCCACAGGAACTGGAAAGACACAGACAGCAGAGTTAATAAGAGGCTGAAAGAGAAAGGGAAAAAAGGAGCATGCTATAGCAATCTAGCACTAGGGTGACCAAAGGGTACAGTATATAGCAATTATTGTCTTATTGGCAAGTTCTCAATCCACCTTCAAACATTCTTTCCTCTTCTGCATTTTCCTGATTTATTCATCTGTGAGGTTATTTTCTTCCTTTAATATTTTATGGAATGCTTCATGATCATAACTATATCAGATTCTTTTTCTTCACTTCAGCTACCCTCCCACAGTCATGTGCCTTCACTCCCCCTTTTTCAATATACTGAGTTCCAAGTATCACACATTTTACATTCACTTGTCAGGTGCAATTTTCAAGTCCCATAAAAACACTGCAGCTGTGCAAACATGCATCTCTATCTTTTTCTTATCCTGCTTTCAGTCAGTTGGTAAAAATAAAGGAATGCATAATGCAAGAGATTAGTTTTTAAAACCTCTGAGCAAAACTGATTTTTTTTCCATTTTGTCTTAAATAAATTTATCATACGGTAAATTTTGCATGTAAGAGATCTGTATCAGAAATCTGTTGAAAATACAGTAGCCTAAAATAACTTTGTGGCAAAGAAAGGGAAAACTCGCATTTAAATTATACTTTGACATTTTTTCCATCTTCTCTTCGCCCTATAAATAGTTCTTACAAATAGGAAAAAAAGGAACAATACTGTGTAGTCACATGCTTTAAAAAAATCCCTTAAAGTAGGGGTGTTTAATTCAAATCAAGTCCTGGATTTTATTTCATGTTCCCAGTTTATTGAATCCTTAGATCAGCAACAATCTACTTGCTTGGAGAATTGCTTGGGCCACGGGAAGAAGAAAGAAAAGAAGATTATTTTTTGTAATTGCTTTTAAAGATGCATTTGCACAAACTTTGTTTTATTACTTCTGACTAGTGCATGCAAAACCACTATAGGTGCTATTTTTACTCTCCTCTGCATTTTGAAGTGCACTGTCAACTCCAGCTTTTTACAGAGTACCATCATCTTGTCTCAGTGACTAAACCAACAAAGTCTTCAGAGTCAAAAGTCTTGTAATTCTAACATGAGAACTAGAACATGTAAAATACACATTCCAGTACTGGGATTTCCAGGCAAATATTAAATAAAAATCTTAAAGTACTGTTCAGTATAGGGTTTTTAAGAACAGAACAAAGCTGTAAAGGTTTTATCAAAAGAGGTTAAAAACCACGTATTGAACTAAATTGTAGCCATTAGTCCTTAAGGATTTCAAGGAGCTGAAAATCAGAAAACATTCATAGTTAAGATCAAGTATATCATCTTATTTGTGTTTGAATGGAAAATCTGCATCAAGTTTAAATTCTACAAAGTGGTAAAAAAAATCAATTAAGCCCTCAATAATTCAGAGACAGTTTTCAGTGCAAAGTTACTGATTCAAAGTACTTTATTATAATATTCTTTAACTTGCTGAAGCGTTTCTCACTAAAAACATACCCTCTGAGTAACTCATTTTTCCGGTTTAAACGACTGTCTGTAAAATATTGTTTTTAATATACATTGTCAGAATAGATTTGTATCTACCCAAATGCTGATACATTATAAAGATTAGAAGTAGGAGATGATTATGACAGGTCTCGTGCCAGGAGGTCATTCTTGTGTCAACATACCAGGATTGTGGATGCGATCCAGGAGCTTCACAGATCGTGCACTGACAACACCACCAACGTGGACAAGAAAGCCTGGTGGAAAGGTCGTCAGGGTAAAAAATGGAAATTCCTGTTATGATTAAAAACAAACATCACATGATTGCTCACCAACCACTGTTGATTGTCAATAAACATGCAATGAATCGATAATTTCCCTGAAATACAAGCAGAGCAGTTACATTAGGCCAAACGTGTCTTTCAGGGTTACTGAGCGCTACATAACCATGTGTCTTGATATACCCAGAGTATCATAAAAGCAGAGGTGGTATACAGTGTAAGAATACTTTTCCCCCATAGAGCTGTTTCTTAGCACAAGAGTGACAAATAATCAAAATTTTACACACTTGTGTTGATGAAGCCTCTATTGATCCACTTTTACCATGGCAGCTAAACAACAGAAATCTACTTTTGTTAGCTCATACAAAATCAATATTTTTCTCCATCTTGTTGTTACAACTGACTGCAGTTTGTTTCCTCAGCACAGTGTGAAATAAACTGTAGTCTTGCAAGAATGATTAATGCTTTATTACAGGAAAACATACCTAAAAAATATTAATTGACTGTTCTGCTCATAAGCTCTGAATATAAGAAGTAAAAATCCATCTTGTAGAATAAATCATAAGTCTTTGAAATATAACTGTAAGTTCTTAAACCTAAGAAATTAACTTCCAATTAATTCACATTAATTAGTTTTTACCAATTCATAAGTAAAATTAAGAGTTAATAAATTTCCAAAACGCTCAAGAACATGGTTCCTCCAAGAGGCAAAAGTAAGCGATAACAGCAATTTCTCATGTTACACGTGATGAAAAAGAAGTCCCACGTGATGAAAAACAAGTCATATTGAAAGGAGTTGAGCCCAAAACTGAAGATTTTTTTTTCTATAGAGACATTCTATGAAATGTTTAATATATATGTAATAGCACACTTATGGGGGAAAGGCAATAATTCACATTCAGCAATTCTAAATGCAGAGAAGCAAAAACACCATGAAAGAAAAATCATGCGATCATGGTTTGTATAACCATAACTGGATAAATGGAAAAAAGAAATACTATAATTTTATGAGAGAAAGTACAGGATAGAATCCTTTCTCACATACTTGAAGCACTTGGAACAGCATAGCTCAACTGAGCTTCTACCTAAACAGCATATATGCTGCAGATTAAATGAGGATGACGGTTCTTCCAGCAATACATGGCATGAAAAGTCCTCTTGAACTAAAACCCAATGTGAATTTAAAAATTAATACTTCAGAATTTTTACTGCCCTTGATCCAAGTACTCTTTTAACTTTTAAAAGGTCCTACAAACTTTTAAAGTTTTCTGTATTTTCATTAGGCTTGGACTTTCAAAATCAGCAACCATACAGTATCAACAACTAGAAAACAACAAAAAAGGTAACCCCCAAACCCACCAAAACCTGCAGGCATGTCTTATGATCCAATTAAAAAGCAGGAAGATTTCACCACAGGACTCTGCAAACCTGTTCAACTAATGTGTCTTCAGGAGCATGTCTATGATCATGCATCTCCAGAGAGCATTACAGATTCCCCCAGAAGGTTCTAACAGATCAGAGTGCTTTGCAAGTTACCAAAATAGACAAAAAAGCTCTGACTAAAACAGCCTGAACTCCTTTTCAGAATATCTTTCATGCTGAAAAATGGAAAAAATGCAATACATCAACATTTTGTTAGAAGCCTATTTCACTGTGGCTCTGTAATAGCAGCTGCTCAGTAATTCTTAAGTATGCTGATAATATTTCTCCCTGTAGAATTCCATGACCCTCATTTTGCCTAACTTATCTTTAAATATCTAACATACACATCTACTCTGTCCTTTGAATATAGTCATCCCACTTTACTGGCATTCAGATTATTAGCCTTTCCAGAACTAGAGAAATCAATAAAAAGGTTTACTGCATATGCCACCTATACGAAATTCCTTTAAGCCTATACTTGTATTTTGTATATACATATATATACTCAAACTGTGCTAAAACAGTATGGAGTTAACAAAGCAAACAACACTCCATGCTCTAAAGCTTAAGCAAATCCAATCTTTTTTAACCTAAATGGAGATTCTGAAGTTAGTTTTCTTTTTTGTTTGTTTGTTTTCATAAGGCTGTGTGCTACAAGTAATTTTAACATGTCCAGACTTCCAGTTTGCCTGATCTCCTACACCACAAATCAGGAATAAAACCTCAAATAATGACATGGTTTTCTCTCAATCAATATATCAATACTTGCAAGTCTGTATTACAATACATGGTGAAATTAGACCTATGTCCTATCAGTGAATTCCAGCCACAGACAAATCTGGGTATCAGACTCACTAAACCATTCTGACACGATTCCTTTAACAGTCTCTCATCCATTCTGACACAGATGGAACTCCATTGCTTCATAAGATGGCTTTTTTTTTTTTCTTCCTTTTTTTTCTTTTTTTTTTAAGGTCATTTAGAGGTTTGGGGGGTTTTATTATTATATTATTTAAACACTAGTTCCAGTCTCAATTTCCTGTGGTAATCTGTAATACTTCAAAATTACACATCTATGGTTACTGCCGGGAAAACAGAGATTTCATAAGAACCAGATGCTGTGTTCTCATATTACAAATCTCCTCTGTAACTACAATTTGCAAAGGACTATCTTTACATCAAGGTGATTTAAGCAAAGTATTCAAAGTGAGACAAAACGGGATGAACAAAGTTTCCAAGCTACAACTGAAGATGATCAATCATTTTACCAATACCAATTCACTGTGCCACTTCACAGTCATTGATTGCATAGACCCCAAAAGTCTGCCAGTGGCTTCGTCCTTGCAACTACACAGAGATTTTATAGTTGGTATTTGGGGGATGTTTGATAAGGATACAATAAAATTCTCATTAATATTTGCTTAATACAATGTTTAAAAGTGTCTGTGTACACACATACATGTAGTGCTTTTTAGAACTATGTTTCATACAAAGACAGACAAAATGATGAAAAAGCAGATGGAACACAGCTACACACACATCATTTGGTGTTAGTGCCAGTTGAAGCAGTTCTCTAATTCCCTTCCAGCCATTCACTCATTCCCACGGTTGAACCACTCCCTCAGATAATGCTCAGCTGTGTTCATTGAGATTTTGGGGCTGAACCAGAGTGGGGAACCGGTCCACACTAAAATACAGGTAATTTCCTGGTTGAATTGTTTTTCATCTAAGCACATCTACTGTGCCATCTCACAAGGTGGCCCAGCAATCTTAGTTTTTCTTGAATTGAACTGAGGGGATGGGCTGGATAAGAAGTCACTGGAAAGAAAAGATGATTAGGTCAGGATTTCAGCCAAAGGAATCACCCAGAGAACTGCGCTCTAACACAACAGGTGTCCAGCAATGCCCTTCAGAGATGAAGATCAACAGATCCCCATTTTGAAAAGGCAGTGGTAAAGATCTCTCAGGCACTTGAAGAATGCAAACATGGAGGAATAGAACAGCATTTGTCCAAGTCAAGGTCAGCAGAGATACGAAACACCATTGAGAGCAGCATTTGGCCATTTCTACAAAAACATGGGCTAACTTTTTAGGAGAAGAGGAAGATCAGATTTTCCCACTGATGGACACACAGAATATTCATTTATAGTTAAAAATATGCACAAAGGTAGGTGTGCTATAGTTACAATTGCTATTTACAGGCATCCTGTGAATTGCTAAAAGTTATTAACTTACAATATAACACACATGTGAGTTTTCCACAGCTGTTGTATTTTCACAGAAGAAATTGAGTAAGATTACCCTTCTACCAAACTCTGTGCTGTTTGCAATTAGAGTTTTTTAGTAACAAATTAAACCCACTTATTAAAAAAAGCTGTGGAGACATCCAGTTTTAACATGCCTTACCAGATACCCAAATAAACTAAGAAAGACTCAAAAGAACTTGAGCAACCTGGTCTAGGGGAAGATTCCCTGTCCACGGCAGTGGGTTGGAACAAAATGACCTTTAAGGTCTCTTCCAACTCAAAGCATTCTGTGATTCCATGATATAACTAATACATGTGGAAATATATTATAGACATTTAATTTATTCTTTGTTTTCCCAAATTAATGCTACTCTAAGTAATCCAGACAAGTAACTAGGGTGCACAATATTAAAACAGACAAACTAACTTATGTTATTTGAGTTAAGTAATTCAATTTTAAGGTAGCCATAAAAAGTAACACTATAGCAAAACCACATCCAATATGAAATTTTCAGAAGACAAAATGAACATTTTTTTATCAATTAACAGTCCCACATGCTTTGCTACATCATCATCAATTAACAGAATCAACATGTTTCCATCCCATTTTACAGTATTTTTCTACTAGACAATACACAGGCCTTATCAAAATAATATGCAAATAATTCGAGCTCTAAGAATACATTAGGTGCTCTTATTTTACATTTTCATTGTCTTTAAAAAGCTTCCTAAGGAAATGACAGATGAGCCATGAAATGTCTGAAATGCTAGAAAAATCCAAGGTAAACAGAAAAAAGGCTCTTCTTAAAGCATTCTTTTTGCCAAATCAAAACATTAAAAGCAAAAAGCCACGGATTTGTATTTATATATAAATTAAAATTTTAACGGAAACGTATCAACATGCAAAATACTATGCAAAAATATGCTGATCTGATAAGAGCTCTTAAAAATAACAAAAACATTTAAAAAAACAAATCCCGCATAAACGAAGATTACAAAGAAATCTGCAAAGCCTCAAAGAAGAAAATGAAAATACTTCAAATAATGATTTAGAAATCCTCGGTATGAGAAGAAAGGGCTACAAAGAGTCACGCAGTGATTTCGAACATACCCGCCGTCTACAGAACCTATGAGGCGATCCTCCCTTAGCCATGGGTAACACAAGAAACGAGAAGAGAATCATCCACTTACTCAAAACAGCAGCTATTCACTTATACTTCACAGATGCAGGTGATTTTGTTTTAAACAAAATAGCATACATGGTTCTAGGTCAGATGCTCAGAAATAGTAATTAAGCTTGCATTTATTTTGGAATAGGTAAATAGTCGCATTTCTTCCTTCCGGACACCTCACTAATAACATTTTGACACAAACAGTGTATAAGCTATAAACAAAGCTGCAAGGACTCATTCCAACCATAAACAAAGAATTAACATTCTATTCAGTATAATGACAGATGGCATTTACAGTCCTATGGAGAAAAAGCTTAAATCTATAAAACCCTTCTTTTGCTTGGCAAGTAGTTCAGGTCTAAGTTCTCATTTAAAGGCTACATGCACACACATTTCATTTAGCCTTCACCAAACCCCAAATTAGCTGTCAACTCTATATCCCCAAAACTGAAAGTCTTCCCAATTCTACATGGGAATTTCACCTTGTTTAAAGATGTTCCAATGTTTCTGAATTTGGCTTCTGTAAAAACTTTACCATTATTTATTAAGCATTAAACTTACACATGCATCCAGGAACTTACAGAAACCAAGTAACAGTAGTTTTTCCTATAACTTTTTCTTTAAAACCAATTGGAATCACTTGAGTGCTGTTCACAGTTACTTGCTTTACTATTCTTAACGCTTTAATAGTATATTAAAATTAAATAACCTGTGTATATAAGGGCTAAACATTCAACATTTGTAATGTTTTCAGACCTAAAAATTACCCATATTTTTAAACAGAAAGTAACAGGAAACATTTAACTTACTACAAGCTAAATTTTCACTTTAGTAGATCAGAAATGTAAGTATAAAATGCCTTACCCTTTGCTCCAGAGCTGACTGAGTCTGTTGTCTTAAAAGAGTTTTAAATGGCCCTCCTTCTTTTCCAGCACTCCCACTGCCCATTCCTGAAGAGTATCAGTACAAATGACATTCAAAGAAACATGTATTATAAATTGCAGTTAAATTAAAAAATAGATACAATAGTTACTGAAAACAGTCAAATTATCCTCATAATTTTAATTTTAAAAATGCCAAGCATCACATTTGAATTTGTGTTTGGGAGGGGTATTCTAGAGTTAGGTTTTCACGTGACTAGCAATGGTTTTACAGTATTTGGACAATCCCTCCCCCCAATCTAAGATCTTTTTTTGCTGTCCATCTGAGTTAAAGACAATTCCAAAATACAAAGACTTGATGATCTGGGCTTGCATTTCTTTCCTGTGGCATATAACTTCTTTTCTTACTGCTATTGGGAGTTTTGCCTACGATTTAAATATAGATCTGTCTTCTCTACTGTTCACAGAAAGCTTCTACATAACCAGATTTTCAGTCCCTATCAAAAAGGGCCTCTCTGCCAGAATACTCTATAGTTAAGTATCTCTCACTACTATCATTACCTCTTTTTTCAAATGAAATTAATAAAAATCTGGTTTTCTAATAGTTTCAGAGTAACTAAATCACCTTTCCTAACCACTGGTAGGAGACTGGACACACAATAACAGTAGTAGCTACATAACACATGATTAGGAGCAAAAAGAAAATTACAACAGCAATGCACATCCTTTAATTTGAACTATAAACTCTGAAAAAAATTACCAATTACTTTATTTTCTTTAATATTTACGCAACGAAATATTCACTCATCTGATTCATTCACATAAGCCAAGGGCTACTGATCAGTTAAAACTGCCACACTTAGTTGATTATTGTATTTACACACACATAACCTGCACATTATCTGTAAATGAAAACAAGAGATAAGCTCTGATTTTGCATAATATGGGTAATTCTCTCTCTCCTTCTTTCAGATTTATCTCTACCCCTACCCCCTCACTACAGGAATTTTTCTGAAGAGAAAGTTTATCAGATACAAAGACATTTTGCTACTGAATTACCTGTTCCCAAGGACCTTAACTGAGCGTGTTGAGATGCAGGTTATGTGTATGACAGTAAATTATGTGCTCTATGGTTAGAAATCAAAAAAATAAACACATACCAAGATTGTGTTTTTCCTAAAGTAAACACAATGCTGGTGAATCAGATTTTCTTAGTAATATTTCATGGCTAAAGACACACTATCATTGGTATTCCTTGTTTCTAAAGACATCAAGGCTAATTCGACAAAGCAAAAATAAACATCTAAGTTGTATAGGAAAGCACAGGATAAAGAACAAAAAGGTGCCAGGAGCAGGATGAAATACAAACATCACAGTGCAAACAGTTATGAATGAAGCCAAGATTTTCTTTTACAGAATTTGTAACTAATTTAACTTAACAATTCCTTGCTAGTTTCCTTTTTCTTCTGATCAAGCATCTGATAAAGGTCAACAAAACTGTAAATATACATCGAAGTGCAGTTATTTGTTTTAACGAAAGACTGGGAGATCTATAAATAATATCAGACTTAATAATGTATGTAAAATCATTCCTAAATTCATTCATTTTCAAGAGTTACTAGGCTACCATTACCATATAATTAGATATAGAAATACTACGATTTTCAACAAATATTTTTAGCTGTTCTTGGATAAGGAAACAAAAATATTAGTACCTGTATAGTCCCAATAAACAAGATTAAATTGCTTCTACTCTTTGGCATTGATTCTAAACATCATTGCCAGGGACTATACAATAATAAATACAAACAAACAGAGCATAAATACTGGACATGAAACAAACTCAAAAAATACAAACTAACCAAAATAGCTTCTACAGAAAAAAAAAAAAAAGCAGTAATATCAATGATTTAGTTTAAATCTATGAAAATAATGCATGTGAAATGGAAAAATGGGCAGAAAAATAAAAAGTACAGGCTTTGTTTAAAAGACTAAATGAAAAAGCAGAGTTGCTAGCCATCTGATAACCATTGTTTCAACCAACTATGAACGAATTACCGAGCAAGTGCAAGGGGCATTTGCTCCATGCAAAATACAGGAACAACAAAGTGAAGAGAATGTAGGTGATTTAAAAAAAAAAAAAGGTAAATTATTTTAGTCCAATTACCAAAGGAAATTTTGCAAGAGTAAAGGAGAAAGTTGCGTAGCATAAGCTACATGTTTCATATCCTACATGTAGTTCTGAAGCTGTTTCAAGCTCCTGGGGCAGAGGTGAGAGATGGGATGAATAGTCATGTAGCCAGCAGTTTTCAGAGGCTAACTGAGCAAAACCAGGGTTATAGAAGGCTGTGTGTTAATTGCCCCCATATCAAATAACAACAACATTTCCTTAAAAGGCCATAATAGATAGATCCTACCAGAAGCAGCCAGAAGCAGCTCTTCAGTGAAAGAAACACTTTTCCTCAGAACAACTGGGCTGACATGGCTAGAGTGTAGAGGTTTAATGCTAGACCCCGAGAGGAGGAGACAGGACTTTTTAAGATGTGGGGAATCACAAGAGAGTGTAGGGGAGCTGGGAAACAGGAAAATCCTAGGTCCCTGTGGGGAAGGTGCTGTGGAGGAAAGTAATAGAGACAAAGAGATGTAGATTCAGAAGATGACTAAAGAAACGGACAAAAGAAATCAAAATGAAGCATTTTTGTTTTCTCTAAACGAATCAACACTTACTGCTGAATTATTTCTCAACACACAAAGAAACAGAATGACAATACAGCTCCACAATGTGAATGAGAAGCATGTTTTTAAAAATCATGACTTGATTAATTTCGCTTTGAAATTATTTTTTTAAAAGCCATGGTAATCTAACATTTATTTTAAATTTCAAACAAAATTTGATAACAAATACTATGGAGTAAAATAAAAGTAACACAGTCTTTGCACACACTTAATCTGATTACTTTCATTATTTAGATAGAAAAAGTTATTTTCCAGAGAGGTCACGGATTTGGTTTGTGATTTTTTAGAGTAATAAATCTTGTAGAATTCTAAGTTCCCACAGAGAAAAGGAGTTCCCACCTTCTCAATTTCCTCCAAACATATACTGTGTGACATCATAACGTATTACTGGATTAAAACAGGTCATGCTTTTCATCAGCCTGATTCTGTTCAACTGCAGTGGCATGAAATCTATCACTACTCACAGAAGCCTAACTTCAAACCCAAACAAGCTTTCTCAGCATATGTATTTATAGACCAGAATGGATAACATAAGCACAATTGTATTCTACAAAAGAGATTAAGGTAACATTCTCCTGATTTGGAGCTACTGAAAACTAGATGCTTAAGCAGACCCAAGTTTCAAGCTCCTCTATTTTGTTACTTCTGTTGTGAAATTGTGGTATCTGCACTCTTTCTCCAGCTTAGTCTCCATCTCAGACACGTGAACACACAAGCTACCTCACTGAGAAATAAAGAGGAATATAATAAACTGCAGAAATATCAGAAAATACTTCATTTTTCACATCAGCAAATTCAAGTAATGGTTATCTTGAATTTTATAATGTTTGATGTGCCACATGAGAAGTCTATTTTTCTGTAACTTTTTTTAAACACTAACATCACCTACTTTCACAGTGAAATATTCCAGCTTAGCAACAGTCTTGGGAAAAAAACCCAGATGTCTAAACACATACAGGGAATTCTTAAAAACAACATCCTGAATTTAGTATGTTATACAAGCAGCTTCTGCACATCACCAAATTTTTGGTGAAAGGTAACACGAATGACTCAAGAATCATTTAAACTGTCATTAAACTGTCCTTTTAATCTGTTAAGATTCAAAATCCAATTTGTCATACCAAGATACAGAATTTTTATATGCAAACAGCAAATCCTTTTGGGAAAAGTTTCAGCAGCAGAGTTAAAAGCTGCTAAAGAGACAGTGCTGATAAGCAAAACTGGGCCCCCTGTTAGCTTTAGTACTAAAAAGATAGCTAAAAAATATCTTCACATACATGAGAACTCCCTAAAAATAAGAGCTACCAGTTACACAATCTGTTTCTGTTCTGAATGAACTGACTAAAAGATAAAAGGGTCCATCCACCTACAAAATATTGCCAGGAATGATGTAAGGTTGCTGCTTTAAAACCCTAACAAATTCACAGTGAGTTGCCACTTTCCCAACTTGAGAACATTTACATCTATAAAGATGACCACCTATGTTACATTTAAATCCTTTATATTACATGATCTTTAGCATGGAAAATCTGATCAAATGAAACTGTTTTCAAATACTCAGTAAACCAAACACATGAATTTGTGGTTCTCCTATGTTATTACCATCCAGTTATATCTGTATGTCCTTTAAACAAGTGATCACCAACCACAAAACAGCCATCATTTAAAAATAAGGACAAAAAAAAAATAAACTGCTTTTGTTTGACTGTTTTTTTTAAAAATGGGACAGAGAGAGGATAGCACTGAGAAAGACAGCTTCCTAACTGGGAACAGTTTTAACAGATATCCAGGGAATTAACCAGGTAAATTATTTAATACAACTCCACTTGAATGCAACATTTAACTTATCTCCTAGGAAAAATTCTTGAAAGGGGTGCTATCAAGTAAAATTGAATCATATGCTTTAATATGCTTAAAAATTGTCTAAGTAGATGGAGACAAGAATGTTCTGAGCTTCAAATACCACAATTTAAAAAAACATTTGAAAAGTAATCAAACTTCTATAAACACTTCTGAAAAATATTTTGCTCTATGGTGGCAAGTTGAGGGCCTCGGTCACATAATGGAGAGTAAGCAGACACTAACTCTTTGAAGTTGTGCTAACATTATTACTAACATGGTTCGAACCACAGACTAAAAAACAAGGAGGGAGGAAACAACAAGTTGAAAAAATTATGACAGACCAATGAAGAAAGAAAAACGCTTTTTTGAAGATGGCTGGAGTTACTCCTGATGCAATTTAAGTTACTTTCAAAGCGTTTACTGAGTACGTAATGCCATTTCCACATACCAAGAGAACAAAAAGACAGCAGCTGCTATGTTTCTAGAATTGGATTTGCAAAAAGGAGTTCAAAACCAGAAAATGTATGCAGGATATTTATAGCACAACACATGAGGCCTGAAGACTACATAGTTTTAGTAACACCATCCTTGACATATTGAGGTGAGAAATGCACTCCCATGATTTGTGATATGAAATGGAGGAAATATGAAAAAGGCAATTACTTAGGACTCCCTTAATGCTCCAAGATGTTTTATTTTGGCTTGAATACAGTTGTGTTACAAAAGTAGTTATCCAGGACAGTGGAAATACAGGCAGGATTGAAATTTTTGCCCTACAGAAACCCTTCTGAGCTTGAGGTGTGCTACGTGAAGTCTCCAATTTCCACATCATTTTGATAACTTAAATGCCAGAAAGTAAAAGGGGGTTGAATGAAAATATAAAAAGAGAAACACAAATCAAACAAAAAGTGGGTGGAAGCGCCTTACCAGTTTTGGGTGTCAAACTCAAATCTGTGTCAGAAGAAGAGGACTGTCGACTGTAGGACTTGGAAGGTGAAAAGGAATAGGTTTGGTTTTTCAGAGGGGTGGAGGGTCCTGATGAATGAGTATTGGGATTGGGATCTTCATTGAAAGGAATCCTGCCAGAAGAAGGTGGAAACATATTCAGTAATCCTGTGCCAAAGGACCTGGCTGACAGCAGCATGATCCAAACACCAGGATGGGACTGGGGCAGGGCCAGCAGCTATTCCTTAGGTGCGAGACTGGGGATGAGGCCAGAGGCAAAGAAATGCTGTTTTACCCATTCAGCATTCTACAGATAGATGCTGATAATCTACAATGAAACAATTAAGCCAAATGAAAGGCATGAGATGTGACAAAAAAATCATATATATATATATATATGCAAAAGAAAAAAATTGAAAAGTTTATGGCTTAAAAATCTGGTCAAATACACAATGCTTTGAGTTAGTTTAATAAAGAAAAAATGATTTCAAATTATATTTGTGTTTATACATATTTATACATTTATGTATATACACACATATGCATTTTAAGGAAAAAAAAAACAACGTTTCCTTATCCTATAGCATCAGCAGCATGCCACAGCTAAAAACAGAGCAAAGAGGAGAATCTCAATGGGAACAACTATATTGACAAACAGTTCACTTATGCACAGGTTGACTTACCTGCTCTCTAAAACCATCTCTTCCACAAATGGCACAGACTCTTCCTATAACCACTTTAAAACCTAAATACCGCATCAGAATTATGCTTGAAAGCAATTACGCACTCAAATCAAAACATGATTTTCTCCAGTGAATGCACAATAGTGAACGTTTCCCAGATACACCAACCTAATTTTTACTCAATTTCTCAGGAAGCAAGCATGTTAAAACGAAATGAAGAGTGTGGCCTTGTGGAAGAGACTCCGATGCATTTCCAAGAAACTACTGCCTTTGTTTCAGCAGCTGCAAACTGAGCAGTTCTTCACTGACAACAGGAGGTGTCTCCATGAGAAAATGAGTAAGGAAGGATGGGTGGTACCTGCCTACACTGCCTGCCTGCCTGCCCTTTGCGACCACTGTGCCTGTGGCCTGTCTCTCCCCAGCTCTGGAGTCTGAGCAGTCTCGTACCAGTGTAGATGAGAGTGGGAACAGACACAGAGAAGTTCTGAGTAAGTCGTGAGCCAGTAGCAGTGTGAATTGGGCTGTTGTGAGTCGAGCGGCATCCATGGCTTGGCGGATGAACCAGCGGAGACCTGAGAGAATTTGCAGCCAAGGTGGAAGAAAAGAAAACAATACATACAAACAGGTTGCAAGGTTATGTTATCAATGATTTCAGGGAAGTTTTAGCTAGAAGAGATCTCTTACTCTAAGCAGACTCTAAGAATTTAAATTCCTAGCATGCAAGAGTCCAGATGAAATAAAAAGAGGGAAAGGAACAGCTTAAGCACTAGCTTGTGAATGCATAATTGATTCTCTGGCAACAGGGCATCAAGTTAGTAAAGCCAAGAATAAGAAGCGTTAGTTGATTTTGCTGCTTTAGAGAAACACGCCCATTTTTTGAACTGAGACAGTATCCACCACCAAGCTGAACGTGGGTAATTTGGGAGGTGGAATTTCCACACTTTGCTGCAGAGCGGAAGCTACCAATTTATTCATGGATGCTTTTTATGAGGTCTACCTTTTTCCTTTTTAAATCACCGCTGTTATTTTATGCTGCACTGTATTCCAGAAGTTCTTTTGATGGCAATTTTTTTAAATTAAGACAAGTTAAACAAGCTATCATTTGAAATAGAAACCAGTAATTTTTAGAAGTCAGAGCATATTTTGCAGAGCAATTGATGCCTGCACAACAAAAATGGCTAATTTCTACTGCCATGACACAACAGTTCAAACTAATGAAAATGGCTGCATCAATCAATACCTCTAGAAACGCAGCATATGTAGGACAATTTTTTGTGCTGCTTTTCCCTTCCAGAAATTGGGATTGCTCCAGCAAACAGGAAATTTAACCAAGCAATAAAGTAGTAACAGCTTGAAGAAGACTGCAAGTGTACCTCTATTAATCTGTATGCATATCAAAAAATTGCATTCAAACTGCGTGTGGTGCTGCAGTAGATACAACAAAGATCACGAAATTCTACCTCTCATCATGAAAAGTTTTTTCTGCAAGTTCACTGTCTACTTGTTCTGCCATAGTCCTACTTGTTTTGCAACAGTAAAAAGAAAAGCACACAACAAAAGATGAGACCTTTTCGGGGTCATTGTCTAAATCACTGACAGAACTGTCTGAATTCAAAATTTTTATCTCCTTATATGGTCAGCATACACGCTCAAACTTGAATCAAAGTATACCCCAAGAAGCCCTCACAGAAATGTTTACTGTACAAACACAGAGTCAAAGCAGAACTAATGATCAGTTAAACTGGTGGATCACAACCCAAGGATATGTAATACTGTTGCTACATGAATTCAAAAGTCATCTTAAGTAAGGATTACCACTCCATCTTCTATTGAAATAACAGAAGTAATCCAACCTACAACATTTCAAAATTGTGGAATATAAACTGAGTTGCGGACAAATAAAACTACAAAAGGAAAACAAATTCTGGGGAAAAAAAGAAATCACATCGGTTATGTAAAACTGAATGAGTATGAAAAGAAGAGAGGTGAAACTTGTTTTCCTACAAGCTACTAATTCATACTTACTCCTTCATTTCTTTGGATGGGGAGTTACATGCAGGTAAAAATGCTGATGTGTTACTTAATTTATCCAACGTGCAGGCTGTTCCTATGGCTCGCACTACCAGTCCAGACTCTCCCTCCAAATCAAAACACTGCAAATAACCAACAACAGCATTTCCTCTCATTTCAAGCACCTTCAAGCCAATCTTCCTTTGCAATTCACCTACAAAACAAAAGGTAAAGAGCTCATAACTGCAGTGAACTTTCCCTATTCTCTTTTGTGGTCTTTGACCTCTGTTTTTGGAATTGCCAACCAAGTCAGTAGAACAGGTAATAAATCCAATCCTACAGTTATGCCAATGAGCTGGTCACAGCCTCTGCGTCCTGTAACATAGTGTGGTATCAATGTCTTGCACAGCTTTTCTTCTCCAAATCCACTCTGCCTGCTGAAACAACATGTTATTTCAGGTTTTTTACCCATCTATTTTTTATTTTCATAGTTTTTTTCTGTTTTCTAATTATTTAGAGTGAGAAACAGACAGTCAAGCTGTGTCCTGGAACTTCAGGTAAGTATCTAAATATTCCTTCACACAGTTCAGAACAACGTAACATCTTTGACACCTATGTGGATAGGCATCTATAATTTCTTTATTTACAAATTTATTCAAGCATATTTCAACCTAATTCATACCTTTTGCCTTCTCCCAATTTTGCAAACAATAGATTGCCACTTCTCTATTAGCTGCACATAAGGACTTAAAGACTGTGACTGTAACACACTGGTCTGTTATTGCTGCTTACTTAGCAGGATATTAAAAAAAAAAACCAAACATATTTCATTGATCCATGTTCCTGCTTTGCTTTGGTCATACTTAGGTAGAAAATATCATCTCTCTCATCATGACAGACTTCCAAAACCCTCTGTTAACAAACTGAAAAATCCTCACTGTCACAAAGCAATGTCACTGCTGCTGAGAACTCAAGTGGAATGAAGTAATAAAAGTTTTATTATTATTTCTGCCCCTGGTTTCTACTGCTTTCTTAAAACTACCAGCACAGGTTACTACTGTAAAACTTCTTAATTGAAATCATGCCTGTACTGGGCTTGAAAAATCACTAAGACTGAGGTAGTGTACGAAGTTCCTAGCTGAGTGAAAAGTGCTATGGATTTCATCCAAGCCAAGGTTGAGACCATACTCTTTTTAACATAAACAACACATAACACGACAAAGACCTGTGAAACAGCCTGGCTCACTCTCAAAAGTTACAGATTTCTCCAGGATTCTCCAGGTGTGGCCATCAGTAAGGGATTGCAATGTGAAACATTTTATTACAGGACACAAAACAGTATCACTGTGAGGTGTCTTGGTTTTATTCCTCTTAACCACTTCCATTAATAAAAACTAACAGAACACTTCCACATGTGCCACTTTATCCACTTGTGCTAGACAAGAGATTTGCAAATTTTAATCCTGTAAGCTAACAAGGAGCTATATTAAAAGCGTCTTCATGTTAGTTATGACAGAGTTTTTTTCACTTTATTTCCTCAGAATGTGCTTTCACGGTGAAGACACTGAGTAACATCTCCACGATCTCTTCCATGTTGCCCCACTTACTAAAGATCTCCACACATGCTTGCAAAACCCAACTCACTGTTTCTTTTAGTACCTTCCTTAAAACTACAAGAAACTCGACAACATTTATAGCCAAGTAGAGAAATGAAATCACTTCCTATCATCCTGGTGTCTTATGTTTCATTTCTTATTATTCCTTACACCTTAAAGATTATCCATCTTCAATCGATTGCCTCGTCTTAGTGCGCAATTACTAAGGGCATAAGGGTGTTTTGTTCTGCTCTGTGCTGTTGGTAAGCATCAGTAACAACTAGAACAACATAAAAATATCTGTGAAGGTACCTGACACTGAGGAGACAACTGACTTGAATCACTGGTCTCTCCTGGAACTCTAAGTATGTTCTGCAGAATCATTGTAAGGCAATACAGTTATCACAGAATGGCCTGGGTTGGAAGGGATCTTGAAGATCATCTCGTTCCAACCCCTCGCTCACAGCCCCACCCAATCTGGCCTTGAAGAGTGCCAGGGATGGGGCATCCACAGCTTCCCTGGGCAACCTGTTCCAGTGCCTCCAGCAGAGAATTTCTTCCTAATATCTAATCTAAACCTACTCTCAGTCTGATGGCAGGCCCCCTTTTCCTGTCACTCCAGGCCCTTGTAAATAATCCGTCTCCATCTTTCCTGGGTATTGGAAGGTTGCAATCAGGTCACTACAAAGCTTTCTCTTCTCCAGGCTAAACAATCCCAGTTCTCTCAGCCTTTCCTCACAGAACAATGACCCAAGCTTGACTTCAATCACATGGGATGAATAACATCAGTATTAATGCATACTGTATCTCAGATGGTGTATATTTGTTCACATACTTCAAAGTAGTCTAAAGAGGGTAGAGCTGTTAATTATTTTAACTGAGTTAAAATTCCAGTAATACTCCTCATATGGGTTAAGAACATCTGCAAAAAAGTTCCACAGGTTTCTTTGACCTTCTTAAAAGCAACTAACAAATTAAAAGCAGCATGGCTTCACCAAATAAGGGGAAAAAAAGAAGTCAGCCATACGGGCCATCAGTTAGAACAGTATAATCCTCAGAAACAGCAGACACTGTGAACTGAAAAAAATGAACATAATTAATCCCAAAAATCATACACAATCTTAAGCAAGGCACCTATTTAAATGGTGCATATTTTTAAAAGCAGCAATAACCATTACAGCCTACATGATTTAATACCTGACATGAGTGAAATAAGTCTTTGTCTGGCCTCATTCGATGCCCTTGGAGTACGAATTCGGTCTATCCACTGGTATTCTGGATCTTCGTTAACTACAAGTTCTTCCACAAATCCATGAATTATTACTGCTCTGTAACACTTAGGAATAGATGTAGCTGTTAAAAAATACATATAGAAGATGTAAGACCTAAGTCTATGAGCCAAGAATTACAAGAAAAAATAAAATTGCACATAAGAAGGGATGTGAACGATTCAGAAAGTTATCCACATGATTTTCTGTGAAAATGTGGACATGGCCAAGCAGCTTTGTTCTGGGAGACCCTGGAACACCAGTAAGATAACTGTCCAGTGTATCAGTTACAACATGTTCCATTATGAAACCTTCTCACTTTGTGTCTCTTTAATGAGATATAGACCCAAAATAACACAATGTATGTATTCACAGGCATTGAAATGGAACTTAAGGAAAAAATAATAATAAAAAAATCAGTTATTTACAGTGTTTTGAAATATGGACACTAAAAATGTATTAAAAAAGAAAAGCAAACCAAACAATTCTATGCATTTTCTACTGCCTTCAATGTAATCTCCACTGGGTTTATGCAACAAGCTGGTGATACAAGGGAGACTGACGGAACAGGTAAAGAAAGAAAAATGGGGAAGGGGGAGAGGTTTTCTGTTCCAATAAACTTTTTTTCCTCTACTTACTGCAAAAGAATTTGACTCCACAGGATGACTGCCTAAATCTGTTTAAGTCATTGAAGAGATCGACTTTCACCACCACGTTGATCTCCCCACGTATACCTATCAATAAAAAAACATGAAATATCAAAAGCTGTATCAGTACAAAACTACCCTTACTAATTATTCCCCATTATTAGTAATTAATGCAGTTTCTATGACCGCTGAGTCACTTTCTCTGCAAAGAATGAACTATAATGAACTGGCAGGTCACGTTCAACTCCAGCCCGGGTCAGGGGAGCGGGATAACACGTCCTTGCTTCTCAGATCAGCTGCAGAGGTGCCAAGGGACAGGAAGTTCCTAGTTCTGCCAAGTCTCTCAGGTTGAAGCGATGCAAACAACAGTTCCTCAAATACCTGTCACACCAGACAGGGCTTTAGGAGAAAGATGGGATTGGGAAAGAGAAGCCATCAGCCTCCTAGCGCTGCAGTGGCCCCTCTGCTGCAGGGTGCATGTGCAAGTGCTCTTTCTGCTGAATTTTAAAAATTGCAGTAAAGCCACTCTCTAAAGTTCAACCAAATGAGAAAAATTTATGCTTCTTTCTGGAGCCCCAAAATGGCACAGTAATTGTTTGTAAAATACCTTAACTATCAGAAGAAATATATAAAAAATAAGGTATTACAGACCTTTCAGACAAAGTTTAGTTTTCAGCCACAACTAAACCTTACTAATAATGGAATATTTCCTAACATACAGCCTTTCGTTACAGCCGTTCGTTTTTTTACTTTTTTCCTGTCCTATTTTGAGCTCTTTTTCCCCACCCAGTAACAAAATCATTTCACATATTATAAGTTCTGACATATTGAGGACTAAGCTTCTTGATGAGTCTGATCTCTAGAGTCTTCAAAAGCCTTTATCACATAAATATATGACACAAGCGACAGCATTAGATTCGTTGTTCGGCTCAAGATACTACTGCAATAAAGTCAGCAAGATCTAATTCCTAAATTCCAATAGAAAGAAGCCCTCAGTTACTGTAACTGTCTCAGGTTCATACATTTTCACAGTAATCATGTTGAGGTGCAAAAAAAAAAAATTTAATAGGAATTTAAGAACATTATTTCCTTGCTTTTAAGGAAGTATCAATTACTGTTTACCAAGAGAAAAGATAATTGGAATCTAGTGCTATGAGCATGTAGATATACAAATTTCAATTCCACTTAAACAGCAAAAAGCTGTGAAATGCTAACAGATCTAGAAAAATATAGAGAAATCTAACTCTCTCTGACCTGCAAGTTGTATACATCCTGAGACAAGGGCTCACCTAATTTAGCTTCAAAAGAAAATATATGATAGGAAAACATGCATATAACAAAAGGATAAATAAGAAAAACATATGCAGTATTTCTCAAAAAAACCCTCTTTACTATAACTGTTTTAAATATAAAAAGCACTCTGCATCAGTTATGACGCCCATCTAGTAAACACCACACACAATTTCACAACAATTATTTATAATTAGCTTTTAACATAGTTAGGTGACTTATTCACACTGAATAATGAACAAAGAGGGTAATGGCAACCACATAAATGTCCTGTACTCAAGCAGCAAAATAAATGGTATAAACTGACCTTGACTTTCCAAGACAAAAGCTGTTTCGATAAAATCAAATGCAAAAATACCATTAACTTCATTTTCTCCAAGACATTCTCATGAAATCTACCTAGCACTGAGAGCACTCACTGCAGGCAAAAAGAATTTCATCCTGTTGAAGCTATGTCACATCCTGTCCCTTGATCTCAAGTGAAGTTTATCCCAAATCCCAGGAAGGCACACCCCAAATAACTTCAGCAAAATTATATTCATTTAGTAAAAACGTGGTAAGTGGAAAAGTATGTTTGGGTCTTTTATTTTTTTTTAATGTTATTTTTGCAGTAACTACTTTAAATACCAAGTGAAGATTTTTTTTTTTGACTTGTCACAAGCCCTGTGGAAGGCGTTCTGCCAAGCACTAGTCTGGACTCCTATGCCAGAAATCTTTTCATGCCAGAAATAAGGGGGAAAAAAAAAAAACAGGAAAGTAGCTTTCCAGCTCCCAAAGCTAAAATTATTACAAATTTCTGAAGACAGCTTACAGAAAGGAAGATTATAAGAAGGAGATTACATCTCAAACAAGACTGTTTTAAATCAGCAAATCTTACCATGAATAGTATCATAAATTGGAAACCATCCCGAAATAACTGTAGCTGCTTCACTATAGAGCAAAGGATCAATGTCTATGTACACTTTGCCAATGGCATCATTGGCACTGTAGGTGTCATGATCAAGAACCGTGATCTGGAGAGGCTCATCCTGTAGCTCTTCATCATCTACCTGGAAACAAATATTAACACGGAGTCTGAGTATTTAAAAAAAGGGCAGGAAAACACTGCTGAAAATCAAACACAGAAGAGAGTTAGTTATGTACAGTGACCTGGCAGAGATAAATCTGGAATTTCAGTTTCCTGGAGCTAAACGATACATTCACTTATGTTGATTTTACCCTTCAGAGATTGGTGAGATCCTGGAAATAAAGAGTTATCACTGGGAAAAGAACAGAAAAGCAAGGTTACAGTGATTATAGATATCAAAATTCCACTCTCTAGATTGTCCACCTATCTCCCCAATACATACTTTGAAATAAACAAAAATATTAAAATTTAAGATAAAATATCCCAGAGAACTTTTATACTCTGATGTTATGATTAGTGGTGGTTTCACCACTGGTGAGTGGCTTAAAAGAAGACATTTTACACAGCCTGCTGTAAAAATTCAGTAATTCCAGACAGGTAATTTCCTAAATAAATGCAGTAATTCACCTGGAGGTACAACTTTTTGTTGGGATAACTCATATAAATGTTTGCAGAATTGTAACAGGTAGTCTTGCAGAAAAAGATCAAACTACATACATGTACACACACTTAGGATGTCTTAAGCAGTTAAATGTTCTTCCACTCTCTGAAATGTGGAATGCTTTTTTTTTTATTATTTTCTCAATGTTGCTGTTTGGCACTTTCCCATATCCATTTTTCCATGCAAAAGGACAAATCTGGGATTGTCAGAAAAACTCTTTCTATATGAACAGAGCTAAACCTCCTTCTCCCTTCTTCCCCAGAAAACTGAGCCCAGGAACTGAAAGATGAAAAAAGAAAACTGACTGAATTTCAACACCACAGTACCACTTTCTTAATTAACATGTGCTGCTGATTAAGAGATGCTCTTAATCATGCATTCCATGTTGATTAATAATCTACCCATCCTTACTATTTTATATTTGCTCTAAAATGCTTCTAACATTACCAGCTATTACATCACTTGCATATATCTACAACTATGTTTATCCTGTGATATTATCTTAGAACACTACAAATGAGCCATTACTGTAGATGCAAATGTTTTATCAATTAATTTATTCCAAATACCTTTTTTTTTAATTTAATAAATAAAATGTAGTAACAACAAACAAAAAAAACAAACAAACAAAAAAAAACCAAACCAAACAAACAAACAAACCAAAAAACCATGTAAACACTTGTTCAGGGCACAATGTCAAAGGACATCAACAAATTAGATCCTGGAAAGCAACAAGCAATTACAGGAAAATGTAGAGTGCCCTCATTATTATGTAAGGAAATGGGAAGAGAAAGTGTCCAGTAATTGTTGTCCAAGCTCTTTATTTTGTAATCTTCTCATAGGAATTTTCCGTTTTCTTCTTTGTGAAGGGCATTATTCTTGCAACCCAAGGTAACATTTCATATAGCAGTTAACCTTCCTTACTCAAAATTTTAAAAAAATACAAGAATACCTGTACCTGTATCTGAAAGCCTAATCCATCTATTTTCCCCCCAATTTCACCTAGCTCTTGTCTTTTCTAGTATTAACCAGAAGAACATTTGAGTTGGATCCAACCTGGCAAGCTTTTATCTTCACAAACACTCCTAAAAAGCCAACGAGACACCTTTAGCAAACAAGGTATAACTGCAGATAGGTTTGCTGAAAGGGCTTTCTGTGTATTTAGGCAGAAACACACTTCAGTGCTCAAAACTCATTTTCTGCCTGAAATGCAATTATTTCATTAAGGGTATCTAAACCAGAGTGTCTACATAGATAGAGGCAAACTCTTAAAAAATACTTACTTCAAATTTGAACCACTCAGAATTCCACTGAGGATTAAGCGATTTGGGATACACATCTGTCTTAAATGTTGTATTTCCAAATTTCACCTAAAATACAAACATTCAATTATCAAAAATAAATACTAGTAAGTAACTTCAGAGACTCACTAAAGCCACACACGCAAATAATTTCAAATACACATTTCAGTAATTTCAACAAATCATTTTCTTTTCACTGAGAGTGGTTTTCTAAACTGATTTATATATATCAGTATCCATCAACCAAGGACACTTCCAATCAATCTCACTCTCATAATATTATAATTGTTTCTTTTCCTCCTCAATCACTTGAGAAGCAAAAATATTGCTTATATTGGCTATTCAAAGTCACTTGATATGCTCTCCTTGCCTTCTGTTTAGAAATACTGTAAGGAAAAATTATCTAAATATTGATAGTTTATGGCCTATTACTCCTCTCACTAGGAGTTTAACAGAAAATTGATTTAAAAATATAAAAACAAACTGAAAGTGTGACACATACAGAGAGAGGACTACTAAAAATTAAGTCTTCTCCATATTTCTATTGATTAAGGCACCTTCAACCACATAACTGCCTATTTCTGGAGTCTCCATCTGGTCTCTAGGGGCACCTATTTCAGGCTGACACAGTTTGGGGTTTTTTTAGGGTTTTTTTAATGAATCTGAATTTCTGTGACGCTTCATACATTCAAAAACCACACAGTACCATGTAAGACCCTTTATTTCCCTGCAGCTTCCATTCCAAGCCATTTACAAACACTTTCAGTTCTCTGATAGTTGCCTCTCAAAAAAAAATAGTACTTCAGCTCATACCAGGTATTTGGGGACTTACAAGTACCCAAAGTTATGTTTTTCCAATTCATTCAAGATTCTTACAGAAATAACGAGTGTGCTGATGTAAAAGATATGCTGCATTTAATGACAGTTGGGGATTTTGAATTGCTGTTTTCTTTTAAAAGTCTAAATGGATTTTGGAGACTAAATTTAGGCCTAGATTTGAAAATTTTACAGTAATTTCTGTAATGTTTTTGCTCAAGACAATATTAAATAAACACTTCATATATCACAATAATATGCTGATTATTTTGCAGAGGTGCGTATCCTGACTCTGAAGAGATTCTACACTTGCTTAAGTGCACCCAGTTAATTTAGAAAGCCTAAAGCACCAACTATGAGTTCACACTGAGCTCTGTATAAGTCACTGTACATACATCAGCTGGAGTGGTATTAAAGCAAAGGACTAAACAACCTTAGCAGACAAAATCATCTGGTTATCCCAGAGTGGGTGGACGCAGCCTGTGTGCCCACGGAGAACAGACAGCACAGCCCTGTGGAATGTGTATCCACGACACAAAGTAGTGCCATAAAGCGATACTGGCACTGGCTTTAACCCAGCCACCAGTTAAACACCAGTTCTGTTGCAGAAGCTGCCAAGACAGAACAGTCCCGAGCTCCACCCAACCTATTTTAACAGGTTTATCTAAGGAGTAAATTAGTTCCCTCAGAGCCCCAGGCAGTTATAACTGATTTTCTCCAGTACTGGAGCTAGTTCATTAAAGCTTGTGGAGATAATAAAGCACCACGTTGCTGTTTGCTGTACAAAGTTAGAAGCACGTTTATGGAAGAAACTGCCATAGAATCACAGGATATTCTGAGTTGGAAGGACCCACAAGGATCGTGGTGCTCATTTTCTCCTGATCGGACACGCTGGTGAAATCTTTATTTTTCACAACCCGAGCCAAGTAAAAGCTCTCGCATCTTTTCTCATTTTCTTTTCTAATTCTAGGTTTATATTGCAATATTTAACAAGGAAATTAAAGGCTAGTGATCAACCACAACCTTAACATCTGGTTTTCATTCCTACTGGAGGAAAAACATGTTGAAAAGGTTTTCAGTAATCTCACACAGAAAAATGAAACAATAGTGTCAAGGTCAATTTATTTTGAAATAAATCTCACCTGCTGCACTGCCCACTCCTCATGAGGAAAGGACAGTTACTCCACATGTGGAAAGGGTGGTTCCTACACTGTTCCTAAAAAACAGTCCCAAAAGCAAGACCCCCATCTATGTATTTCTTTACCCTTATTTGTGCCTAGATGTTCCTGGAACTGCACATTAACCCAGCTAAGAAAACTGATCTTACTGAAAATTTTATTTTCCTCTTTTGCTAAGCTAGTATTTAACTAGATGAATTTCAAAGTTTACTTTGCTACATAGCTACACAGACAGTAGGGTTGGGAATGGGTAACCCACAAGGGAGCAGAGCTATTTCCCCTAAGACAGCATAAAAACAGACCAAGTGAAACTCAGATAACTGTATTTCCCATCCCTGTTTTCCCTGTCTCCCAGTAGCACACATAAGAGCTGTAACTTTAAACTGGATTATAAGGCAGCCTACAAGAGAAGCCTTTCTAAATTAAAAGCTGACTGATGAAACAGCTGACAAAACACTGAAAAATTAAGTTAAACGATTGTCATTCATGTAATAAAATTGAATGGTGTACTACTGCAGCTCCACTGGAAAGCACATAGGAAATATATTTTCACTTTACTACCAACTTACTGTCCCACTAAGCAATGGCCTTAATGTCTAGTGTCAACAGAATTTTTAAGTACCAAACCAAATCAAGACTTATATACTCAAAATATATTTTGATATTATGATCATCAGACCTTTCAATTTATTCTAGAAAGACATTCTGCCTTCCTACCTTTAATTCCAGTATTGTGCCAACCTCAATCACTGTTTGTGGTACCAGCATGCATTTTCACTGTACACCATTTTTAAACACCTCTTTGCTTTTTCTGAGAGTATGATTCCTGAATCTATGGAATGCTTCTGAAATGTCCTAAGTTATTTATATTGGAAATAATTAATCAAAAAACCGTAAGGATTATGTAAGAGAAGTAACAGAAATCACAGAATGGTTGGGGTTGGAAGGGACCTTAAAGATCATCTCGTTCCCACCTCCCTGTCATGGGCAGGGATGCCACCCACTGGATCCGGTTGCTCAGAGCCCCATCCAAACTGGCCTCGAACACTTCCACTAATTTTGCACATCAACTTTTCTTACAACCCCTTTCTAAAAAAGCACCCTACGTACTGTCTGTTAACTACATGATCATAAAGAAGGCTGAAGTTAGATGCTTCGGGTTCAATGAAGTGAACTGAACGTGTAAATAACATTAAATATTTGTTGACAGAAAACCGTCTTCAAAAACATTTTATTGTTTCAGACATTTTAAATTTTCAATTTTTTCAAACGTTTTTAAACGAAAACACCAATACTGGCCTTAAAATCAAAGCCCGTAGAACCACTCATATATTCAGTGATACAAATGATTTCGAGATGCTTTTATAACTTCTCCATCCTCCTTACAACGCATCTGTCGAACCACAGGATCAATGCGGCTGGAGAAGAGCTCTGGGACCACCGAGTCCAACCCGTGACCGAACGCCCAGCAGACCACGGCACTGGGACCGCGGCACCGGGTGCCCCGTCCAGCCTTTCCCTAAACACCTCCGGGGACGGTGACCCCACCACCTCCCTGGGCAGTAAGTTCCGATGTCTAATCACCCTTTTCCGTGAATAAATTCCTAGTGATGTCCAACCCCAGGCTGCGCCCTCCCGTCCCGGCGCAGCGGGGGCGCGGAGCGGGCCCGGCAGGTGCCTCCGCCGCGCGGGCCCTGCGCGCCCGGGCCCCCCCCCCCCCTCCGCCGCCACAAACCTCCACGAAGGCGTCGGTCAGGTCGCTGGCGCGGTCCATCACCGGCAAATGGCGCCCTGCCACGATCTTGACCTTCAGCTTCCCCGGCATCTTCCCCCCCTCCCTCCTCCTCCTCCTCCTCCCGCGGGCTGCAGGGACGGCGCGACCGCGCCTGTCGGCTGCGCATGCGCGGCGCTCCCGCCGCCGCTCCGCCCACGGCAGCGGGAACGGGAGGGGGAATGGGAGAGGGAACGGGATCGCAGCGGCTTCAGCCACCTCTGAGGATCGTCCGACTCCGCTGCCGGGGCAGGGTCACCGCGACAGCTGGCACGGGAACAAGGGGGTCTGGGATGGCCTCACAGAGGGAGGCTCCACGCTCTGCCTCGGGTAGCCTGTGCCACCCTCAGGGGAAGGCTGTTCTTCTTCGCGTTGGGGTGGAACTGCCTGTGTTTTAGTTTATGGCCTCTGCTCCTCTCGTCCGGTCGCTAGGCACCGTCCGCTTGGCACCTGCCTTTGAGATATTTATATGCATTTATGAAACCGCCCTCTCAGTTTTCTCCAGTCTAAACATGCCCAGCTCCCGCAGTCCATCCTCATTAGAGATGCTCCAGACCCCTCATCGTCGTTGTGGTCTCCACTGGACCCTCTCCAGCAGCTCCTTTTTCCTGTTGCACTGAGGAGCCCAGACCTGCACACAGCACTCCAATGAGCCTCACCAGGTCACAGCAGAGGGGCAGGATCACCTCCCTCGACCTGCTGGCCAAGTTCTTCCCAATGCACCCCTGCGTCCCATGGGCTCTCCTGGCATCGCTGGCACACTGGCGGGTCATAGCCAACTCGTCATCCCCCAAGGCTCCCAGAGCTGCTCTCCAGCAAGCCAGTACCCCAGGCTGTGCCGGGACTCGGGGTTATTCCCCGCTGGAAGCAGCGCTTGCCCTTCTTGGACCCCCCGGTATCGCCCCCGCCAGGCTCCAACATGGCGGCCGCGGACACGCCGCGGGCAGTCGAGCGCCGACTCCTCGATGCGTCCCGAGCTGTACCGCTGCGGCGGCGCCCGGGGCAGGCGGCGCGCTCGAGCGCCGAGTCATCGATGCTCGGAAGTTGCGATCCCGACCGCAGTGGAATTTAACCGGGACCGCATCCCGCACCCCGGACTGCGGCCGCTGGAACGCCTTCGGGACTGCTCTGCCTTCCCAGAGGAAGGAGCTGTTGCAGCCTCGGGACTACTCCGCTGCCTCCAGGCTTCCCGAGGAAGGAGGCGGTGCATTCTCGGGATGCTCTGCCTTCCCGAGGAAGGAGGCGGTACACCCTCGGGATGCTCTGCCTTCCCCGAGGAAGGAGCTGGTGAAGCCTCGGGGACGAGGGCTCGTTAAAAAGGGAAACCTGGAACACACGTGCATCCCCAGATGGGAGAGTCCTGCAAAGAGTTTCAATCCAATCCTCCTCCCCTGTGGCTTTAGCTTTGTTTTCTTAATCAAAAAAATAAATATTTACAGTGTTTGAAGGATTACGAATAGATTAGATGGAATTTAGTTATCAGAAATAGGATTTGATATGGTTCCTGTAGCCAGGTCTTGACTTTCTGATGCCTGAAAAAGCTCTTTGTTTGGGAAATAGTGCAGTGGAAGCTTAGGACAAAGCAAAGGAGCAGGGCCAGGAGCTGGATCAGGTGTGGTCCTACAGGACCACAGGAACCAGGATGTGTGAGAACCCGTGGGACGTGGGTTGTGCCACTGGTGTGGTCAGGAGCAGGAACACAAAAGAACCCTTGTGTTTTGGTTAAGCAGTCACCAGGTGTTGAGCCAAATAGTAGATCTGCTTGGATTATTTTCCCTTCTTTCTAATCTTACAAAAAGACTAAATAATCTTACGGGCTGGAATGTGATACATCAAACAAACCATATGACTGGAATGCAGCAGTGTGGGGCATAGCAAATTATTGTGCAGAAGATTTTTTGCTTCTCTGTCCTCCAGCTTGCTGCAGTTGGTCTCACTGAACGGTCTTTGGAACAGTCCATGCTGCTGCTAGTGCTCATTGCATCCAAGTGAACTATAAACAGGCATGTTTTTTTCTTATCCATCCTTGTTCAAGTGGAATACTGTAACGGGAACAGCCCAGTGGACCTGAGGTGCTGAACATTGAGCCAGCAGTGTGACCTGCAGGACTGGAACAGGGATTGTCCCCCTGTACTTTGCACTGGTGAGGCCACACCTCAAATCCTGTGTTCAGTTCTGGGCCCCTCACACTGAGGGTCCAGAGAACAGCAACAGAGAGGGGGAAAGCTCTGGAGAGTAAGTCCTGTGAGGAGCAGCTGAAGGAGCTGGGGGTGTTTATCCTGGAGAAAAGGAGGCTCGGGGAGACATTATTGCTCTCTACAACTAACTGAAAGGAGGGTGTAGCCAGGTGGGGGTTGGCCTCTTCTCCCAGGTAACAAGTCCCAGGACAAGAGGATACAGCTTCAAGCTGTACCAGGGGAGGTTCAGTTTGGACATCAGGAATTTCTTCACTGAAAGGGTGGCCAGGCATTGGAATGGGCTACCCAGGGAGGTGGGGAGGTCACCATCTCTGGAGGTGTTCAAAAACAAGTGAATGTGGCAATTAATGCTCTGGTCTAGTTGATAAGGTGGTGATCAGTCAAGGGTTGGACTCGATGATCCTGGAGATCTTTTCCAACCTTAATGGCTGTGATTCTGAGAGTGCTCTGGAGGCAGGATAGCAGTAAAGAGCAAAGATCCAGGAGGGAAATCAAAAACAGAAAACATACTACTAATGTTTAGACCTGACACATGCTTTTTGAGTGGAATCTCCTGATCTCACCCACTTCAGTGTTATTTTAGGTCGTGTAATCAACCACTTACAGAGTGTATGAACTAAATGTTTTGTTTGGATGGGGCTGAACTGAAAAGGTGAGGTAGCAGTACATCAAATACATTGTCTCTGTGTAAAGACATTTAGGCTGAGGCAGTAAATTAAAGCCAGAATTGCATTAACTCCCCAGAGCTGCATGTGCTGTGGGTAATGGTTCCTCAGCACTGTTTCACCCTAAAGATGGGGCCGTTGATCCACTACATTACTTGTTAACATAGCCATTCTTATCTCTTAACTTCCCCTTTGGAGTAGAAAAACAACCAGCAGGTGGGACTACAAAAAAGTAAAAACAGTGTAGAAGTAAAGTTTGCCCCATGTTCTTTTTCTGGCAAAACTTCTTTGCTGCTTTTGCTAGCTAAATTGCAATGCAGCAATTATTAAAAGACACTTTAGCTGCTGGGATTTCAAGTCCAGGTTGTGTGGAACTTTGAGCAACCTGGTCTAGTGCGAGGTGTCTCTGCCCACAGCAGGGGGATTGGAACCAATGGATCTTTGTGATGCTTTCCAACCCAAACCATTCCATGATTTTACAGCATGTCTTGTGATATGTAGCAAAATGTTTTGTTAAAAAAAAAAAAAAGTCTTTAATTTGGAAGAGGAATTTGAACAAAAGATGGAAACTGCCTTGTACGTTAAAAGCAAAAGGACACAAATGTAGTTCATCTGTCTCTTTAGAGACGGGTACAAGGCTCTATCAAACATGTTACTGATGCCAGGGTCTTCCTAAACCTCTCTTTAGCCCTTGAATATATCAAACAAAACTCTGGGGCTCTTTATTCAGCGAAGATCAGACAATTTGCCTGACCAATGGCCAGTTAATACAGTGAATACCTGGCTAAATGTGCTGCCTTATTCTTGTAGTAGCAGCACTTCTGACTTTGAAAGACCTCTCTCATTTTCCCAGACAACTCACCTCAATGGTTCTTATTCTCAAACTTTTAAAAAAGATTTTTTTTTTTAAAGTTAAAACTGTGTTGCTTTGGGTTGGAGTGGGGGTTTTTTTGTTTCGTTTTTGTTTGGGTTTTTTGCTGAAATACATATCTGTTCTTGCTGAACTTAGAGAACAGATTATTCTCTTACAAACGTTAGAAGACTTATTAGATTAGGCTGGTACATATTCTTTTAGATAATTTTTGTTCTTGTTTAATTCATAGCATCTGGTGCAGTAAGATCCACAGGTTAAGTAACTACTTTGGGAAAATTTGTCTCCTTTTTATTTTGAATTTACAAAGTTGTTTTACTAGTTGGCTCCTGTGTCTTACAAGAGAAAAGGAAGAATTGTTCCCTTTATTCATGCAGAGTTTTTAATGGACTTTTTTTTTCATGGACTTACCATTTACCTCTCTTAATTGACTTGTTTGAAATAAGTAACTTAAACTTTTCCATTCTTTTTTTAATTGGTCTTTTTTCTGCCTCCAAACATTCTTTTTAATTTCCCCTTGAAGACTCTGAATAGACCATGTTTTTTCTTAAAATATAGTATCTCAAACAGGAAATAAAATTCCAGGGAAGCTTTACCAGTGTTGTCTGGTGAACATCTCCCTCTCCCTGTGATTATGAAATACGGGGATTAATGCAATGCATATTTCTTTCTCAAAAAATTCTAAGGATCTAGTTTTTCAAGGGAAGATTTGGGTTAGTCAAGGGACTGGAAACGTGAAAAAACACCTGTTTTGGAGAACCAGTTCATATCTAGTTCTGAAGTACTGGGGAAGATCAATTAGATAATGATTTAAGCCATTAAGAAACCTGCTTAGTGTATTTTACCTGCCTCGGGGCAGAGGATTTTCTATACTGGCAGAATGAGACCTGCCTTTCTGTAAATTTGCATGTTACTTCACACATTTCATGCCAGTAGTATTCCAGTTCTCTAAGGCCAGCAGGGACTCTTAGAAGGCAGAAGGGACTCAGCTGAAAGTCTACTCAAAACTCTAGAACTTATCACGTATTTAAGGCTTCCAAAATAGCCTTAAATTTCCCTCAGTTTCAGGCAAATACAATGGATATACTTGAAACTAAAGCTGTAGTAAATACTTAGTAAAATTCATGCCAGAACTCCACAGAAATACTAAAAGGTGTATTTTCATAATAATAAAAGAAAAAAGGATGTGATACCTGACTTTGCACCCTAGTATCCACTTGGCTTCTTGCTGAGCTTTTTCCTTCCCGCTGAAAAGGGATGTTTTAGCAGGTCATGACAATAGAAGTTGTGTTTCAGCAAGATAACAAGTATGATATGCTTAAAACCAGCATTATCTTACTTGAGCAGGCTTTGTCATGTATGAAATAGCATTGTAA